GCTCTCCTGATGAGGGGTTCGGTCGCTGGGCCCCGGCATCAATCCCATTGGTCTTTATCTTTTGCAGTGTGACAATCTTGTCTTGTCAAGCAAATCACATACTTCTCGTGGACAGGGACTGCAAGTAGTAGGGTGCCGGGCCCACAAGGCCCACACGCACCTTTGCTGAACTGTTGAGTAAGAAAGAGAAGTTGGAATTGTGCAGATCTGGGTTTGAATCTCAGCTCAGAGGGGCAGTTTCTGTATCAGAAAAATGGTCATCCTCTTTTAAGTGAGCTTTTCAGGTTGTGTTTTAACATTTGTAAAGCACTTTAATGTCTATGAGTTCTTTCCAGTCTCACAACCTTTTGTGTGGGTGTTATTTGACGAGGAGTCTTTGCTGACCAAACTTTAGTCGGGCTCCTGAAACTTCTAGGCCCATCCGTGCATTTCCTTGTAAAATGCAGTTATAGCAAGAATCCTGCTAAGTCAGTTTAGCAAGAGTACCCCCTCCTCAGTATTGATCTCCCCCAATGTCTGATCAGGGTCCTCATCCTCCATCATTCTCCTGTTGCTGTCTGATCACCCTGGCCTGTCTTCGGCAAAAAAAAAAAAAAAATCCTGTTAGGTTGGTTTAGCCAGAACCTTCCTTACTCTTGATGTTTTCTCTTAGTAATTTCCTATCCACTGACCCCTCACCCTGCTCCTTGGCTATAAATTCCCATTTACCTGTGCTATATTTGGAGTTGAGCCTGGTACTATACCGAGGTCCCTTTCCCCCTACTGTAATAGTCTTGAATAAAATAGTCCTGAATAAAATTCCCCTATGATAATAGTCCTAAACACTTTTTACCACTTTAACCACTGTCCAGCTCTGGCTTTTTTTTTTTTTTTTTTTGACATGTTATCTCTATTTTATAGATAAGGAAAGCAAGGCTCAAAGAGGCTGTGACTTGCCTTGGGTGGCAGAGCCCAAGTATCCTGATGTCCAGTTGGAGTCTCGGCCACTACAGCAGCCTCTGGAGAATGTTCTGTGCCTCTGGCCTCCCTTGCATTGAAAAAGGGAGGGTTATCTGTGTTAGGTCAACAAGATATCCAACTTTTACTTGGTTTAACCTGAAATGCTTTCCACGCTCCCTCCTCTGTAGATGGGAAACTGTAGTCCAGAGAATGTCACCAAATAAAACACACAGCAAATTAATAGGGAGAACTCATGAGCAAGAACTGACACAGAAAAATGATGGAAAAGGCCAAGTCTGTGGTGTCTATGTAAGTTCTCTTCAGTGATATCCTCCTCCTATCCTGTCCAGGTGCTCTATGCCTAA